GATGAGTGTATTGCCTATCTTCTTCATTGGCAAGCTATCTCCATTCTTGATAACAAGCCAAATTTTGAAGTTATTTGATTGAACAAAAATTCTCATACGCTCCTTCCAATAAGAGTAATTCGTCCCAGCAAAAAATGGCGGCCTTACGGTGGATTGCCCTTCTCCCATCCCTGCGTTCAACATTCTCAAAAAAAATTGATCGTTTTTTCAAACGTCACAAGGAGCGTTAGAGGTACCCGCTCCGATACCAATTGTTAGACAAGGCGTGCAACTCTAGAGGGGGGCGGTGAATAGAGTTGTTGAGAATGTTTACCGATTTTTGCGGGATAAATAATATAAACGTAAGTGCAGCGGAAATAAAAGAGAGAATGCAAAGAGCACACCGATGTATACTGGTTCACCACCTCGTGGCTAGTCCATTTCCCCGAGAGACTCTCTCGAAGCTACCACTACTTCCATTAAGCTTACGGGTGCTTAACAAACCGTTTACAACTCGAGAACTTGAATCTCACAAGCCTCGACATAACCGCTCGTAGATATGCCCTCTACAAGACTTCACAACCAAGACTTAAGTCACATAAGTCTTGAACAACAAGAAGAACAATCTTCTTCAACCTCACAACAATAACTCTCACAAGAGTAGAAATGAGAAAAGATTAAGCTCTATGGATGACAAGAACACTCTCTTGAAAACACTTAGTTTTCTCTCAAAATATATCAATTTGAAAAAATTCCAGATTGGCAATATGCATGAATTACGCGTTCTACTGATGATTTCTTTTGGTCAAATTAAATTCTGGAATGTGAATTCTTGATTTTTAAAGCATTTTCAGTAGATATAATTATAGGCAATTCCTGTTTGGGCACGAAACTGATATGATTTTTAAATGAAACGCACGTATTTTTTAGGATTATATTTTCTTTACCTCTAAAAATTGTTCTTCATTATTTCACAATTATATTCTGATATGAGGGAATACAGATTTAAGCTTTACTCAAGTTATTGTTCCTCAGTAATCATGTTCAGTAATCTCTGGTCATGAATAAGGTTCAATTGCACATTAACATATGTTTTGTGGTATACATATATACATACATACATACATACATACATACATACATACATACATACACACACACACACACACACACACACACACACACACACACACACATATATATATATATACACATACTGGAAAAAAAGGATTTAAATTTTCATGTAAGTATTAAATTTCATGGTTTTGAAAAGTCATTATACACAAGTTATTGTTCCTCAGTAATCATGTTCAGTAATCTCTGGTCATGAATAAGGTTCAATTGCACATTAACATATGTTTTGTGGTATACATATATACATTTATACATACATACATACATACATACATACATACATACATACATACATACATATATATATATATAGATATATATATGTTATTATATATATGTTATCATATATTTAGCCCATGGCTTGATTCATTTTATCAGTCTGTAAAAAGATTTTACATATTACTTATTAATATTTTTGTAAGTACCCTAGAAATATTTTACACACACACACACACACACATATATATCAATTCTTTTTAAACTGAAAATAGATTCATATATATATATATATATATATATATATATATATATATATATATATATATATATATATATATATATATACATACTGGAAAAAAGGGATTTAAATTTTCATGTAAGTATTAAATTTCATGGTTTTGAAAAGTCCTTATACCTGAGTATTCGTGTTCAGAACTGTGTTTGAGCACGATAAAGGTTCAATGGCACATTACCAAGTTCTTATGGCAGGAAATCAGGTCTAACGGCAGGATTCATTAAGGGTTTGATTCTAAGAAAGGTAATTCCAGACTACTATTACCTAAGTATTAAGTAGGATGGCTTAATCCCCTAATTAATGAATATGAAATTTTGACTAAATGTTTTCTACTTTCTATCACAATAACATACTTTTTGGCACAAAATGCATGCATATAAATACACTTACAGAACACATATTCATGCCTGATTTCTTGTAATAAGTCTAAATTGTTTCAAAAATATTTTTAGGTATTAAAGTCACCTTTGTCTGGTTCCTCTTCGAAATCAAGATATGGATTGATTCTCTCGTTTTTGGTAAGCTTTCTCATCCCAGGCAGTCACGGGTAACCTAATACCAACATCATAATTTTATTAATTAAAGAACATTAAATTTCATACTAAACTGGGATTATAAGTATTTCATTAATCATCTAATGAATTAGTCAATTCTATTATTATTATATAAGTATATTTTCAATTATATCTTGAAAACAATCATACAGGTTAACATTCAATAAGGAATAAAAGAAGGTAATTGATTTCTAACTTTGGAAATGGACGTGTGAATGCTTGATAGAATTACTAAAGCTCAAAATAAATGTGGTTGTTGGTTAGGATGATCAGAAATAAATGAGGAAAGAAAGAGGAAAGTACTAAAAGACTTGTAGTCCTTTATAGTGCATTTAATGAAGGTTACACAATTAAGGCTATGCTCAGGGATGTGGATACATACGGCCCAAATCTATTTTTTCACTGCATAATGTAAAATTTAATTTCTGTGTGTAATATTTTATTTATAATTTAGGATATATGTTACTTATTAAAAAATTATTACTATTTTATATGAATACATAATATTATTATGGCACTCACATAGAAAGAAATAAATAAGTATATATATATATATATATATATATATATATATCTAAGTTAGTGTGAATAGTATTATGAATTTACGTAAAAAAAGTATAAGTATAAATACATTACTAGATATATATATATATATATATATATATATATATATATATATATATATATACATATACATACACGTTTTTTTACGTAAATTCATCTATGTATGTATGTATAAAACTACATTTGGAACTAAAAATTTATACTCCGTAATTGTTTTAAAAACTGCCATACAAAAAACCACCAAATATTCTTTGATAAAAATTAATTTTTATTTTGAAGGAATGTACATTCCAATAAATGTATGTTTAATATGAAATCAAAACATGAAATCCTTTATTTGTTGTATTTTTTATTATTCTAAATAACTTAAGTGTTGATGGGAAGTTGCATTTAATGGGCTGGAACTTGTGTCGGGTAGTTGTTCTAGGCGTGGGCTGTCTAATATAATGGCCTGCATTTAATTCATTGTACTTGATTGAGACTATGCTAGGCACAGGCGTGCGGATCTACTTTGAGCATGTACATTTTTATTTAATGAGATTATATTTTAATTTAGTGTCATTTTAGTAAATATGTTACTGGCACTAAAAAAGTTATAATTTTTTGAAAAAATATTAAAATATTAGTTTTATCCATAAAATTAATTTACTCTATGTTTAAAATATTAAAATATTAATTTTCAAAATTCGAAGATTAAATAGTATTTGAATTGCTTCTTTTTTTTTAGGTTTGAAGAAAAAATTCCAGTATGATATTTTTAAGAAATAAAAAAAGGAATTCCGTTATTAATTGTATATTTAAAATTTTTAAAGTAGTTCAATGGTGATGGGTAATTGTCATTTATTGGGCTTGGACTCCTGACGGCGTGTGGCTCTAGGCATAGGCTGTCAATGTCCATGGGATGCATTTAATGCAAAGTACTTAATTAGCCTATACATAACTAGGCCTGTGTAAAGTGCAAAGTACTTAGCCAATATTTTTTAAAGATATACTTCGGTATGTGTATATATGCATTTAATGCAAAGAACTACATGGTATCTAATTACCAATTGGTTGTCCTCACACGCGCACACACACACACACACACACACACATATATATATACACACATATATACATATATCTTTACAAAAATTTGGAATCTATATATTAGTCGACGACCTTAATTTAATAAAAATAATAAAGTTAATTTTTAAATACATTATGTATTGTTTTAAATTTTTGATAAAAGTTAAGTTCCCCAAATGTTTTGCTTATGGAGTTAGAATAAAATTTTATAAGTAGTGTAAATCACATATTTTGGGCCATATCCATGTTGGCGTGCTCGTGTAGGTGTGGGCTGTCCATTTCCATGGACGGTCAAATAACCACGTTGAAGACATATTGCTAGGCCCAATAGCAAATCACGAATCCATATGAATGCGAGCCCATACTTAAAAACCGTTCCCGATTTTTAAAAATTCAAGCACATCATGGTTGGACGATACCAAATCCCACTCAACGACTTTTAATTTAACGATTAAATTCACATCATTTTTAAAGCATAAGGAACAGTAGTGTAAAATGATTTTTGAATCACTTAGAATGCATTTAAAGAATGGTACAAAATGATATTTGTTATTACACCAGAACTCGAAAAATATAAGTATTATTTTAATGGTTTTATGTTACATCTAATTTAATGATTATGGGCAGTGCGTATGGAGTCCTACAATCAAGTTAGATTCTGAAAATGTAATCATTCACCTTGAGCCCCTGACCTTGAGCCACACGCCCAATACATTAACAATAGTTAATACGTGGCTATATATATATATATATATATATATATATATATATATATATATTTATATATATATATATATATATATATATATATATATATATATATATATATAAACAGTTTATACTTTGCTATACCGTTTGGAAGTGTGCAATTATTTTTCAACATGGCAGTTTAATATATACAGTTTTGATTTTATTTCTAATATTATATTTATATGCATGCCGTATAATTATTCGAGCAATGACATTGAATTAGTATTAAGCCCACGATATGTAAATCCAACGATTATGTAATTTAGAAATTTATAGTGCAAGATTTGAGTTATGACGGCCAAAAACTTCAAACAAAATAAGTTTCGGAGGTTACAACCAAAACAATATCCAAAAAATGTTGATAACCCCGAAAGTAAACCGCGCACAGTTTTATCAAAACAAAACACATAACAACACAAAACAGATAGGGTGTTCAAAGAAACCCAAAACATTGATTTTCAACCCCAATGAGTCGGAAGTTCAGTCTCTAGTAGTTTCCTTCTTCATTTTCTTGCTTGCAGTTGTTAAGATTTCATCAAACAGCTCCCTTTTCAACGATTCACTCTCGTCGAGATCGGAAATCCTTCTTTGCTTGGTGTTGACACTTTGGCTAGAGCTTGGATTATTGGAACCAATCTATATGAAAAAGAAAAAATTAGCTCCTCCATAAGAATAACGTGGCTTAAGGAAAGAATTAATTATTTATTTAGTATACCACTTCATGCACTTTTTGACTCAAATCCTCAAGAGATGCCCATAGACCTTCGCTTTCTCTGTCAGCTTCTTCATCTTGAATCACAACCAAATGTTCATACTTGCTCAAGATCTGTGGATCGGTAACCAAAGACCTCACCCCGAAAGTTCTCGGTCCAGTCCAACTTGGACTCCCAACATCGGCCTTCAACAATACATGGAATAAACCCTTACGACAAGGAAGCGATTAAGTTCAAGCGGTAGGAAGTTTGGGTCCATGTCCTTCTGGAAAATTGAGAATAACAATACAATTAGTTTGTCATTTAGCGAATACACTGACTTCATAAGAATAAAAAAAATCGAAAAGAATGTGTTTCCAAACCTCAAGCATAATCTCCATCAATACAAACACACTTGCACCCAAGACTTCTTTACACTCTCGGTCCCAAAGTATGAATGAAGCATGACCGATGTGATCATAGACTCGAACACTGACCTTGTACCTATTAAATAAAGATTGAAGCGTGGTTATTTTTTCAAGTCAATTGATAATATGAATATATGTTGTGTTATTTTTTATATGTATGATTGTTTACCTATAAACCCCATGCGGTATAGTAACTGCACAACCCGAACACTTGAACTTTTCACCATCCGGAATGACCTTCTTGTTGCACTCAGTACAACCCAAGTAACACCAATCACTTGAATCATTTAGTGATGCAATCTCCCCGAGAATCCAATAAGGCCCAGGCTGTCCAAAAAATACTCGTATTATATTCATTGATGACACCTTGGTCCCCGGAATCTCCACCGCTCAAAACAATGCTTGCCATTCCGTCATCCACTTGTGGAGGCAACATGTGTGAAAGTTACCATACGTTACATAAGTAGATTTTTCTTGTAGACATGAATTATTCGATATTTAGAAAGAAATAATATACCTTGCTCTAAAATCTTCAACCTCAGGAGAATTACCATCGAAAATCATCTTGGTAACGTGAAATGCGGTAGAGACAGTAACAGTCCCTGCAATTTATGGGCAAACAAATTAGATTTCGTTATCGTTCAAATAACGAATTTATGAATACAAAAAGTATGTTGCTTACCCATATAGCGCCTCGGGCGGCAAAAGCTCAAAAGCATGATTACCGGTTCTTGGTTGTTCTGGGTCAAACAATCCATGAACCGGTCCACGTATTCTCCCCATAGTGTGCAACCCAAACGATTTCCCCTGTAAGATTGCGTAATAGAGCTAATCCGATTGTGCCATTTATCTATATTATGTGAAGTTTTGTAATTATTAAGTCATACTCATGATCTTCTAGAGTAACTTCCATCAATTTCTGTTCAGAGCCTCTCTTTGAGTTTGTTTGTATTCCTTCAACCCCTTTATAAACTTCACTCCTTGGTCATTTTTAAAATGAACAAGCACTCCTAAACTCCCCCAATCTTGTGGTTATAATCCTCCATTCATTTCTTCCTCAAATTGATATATTTTGAGAGAAAACTAAGTGTTTTCAAGAGAGTGTTCTTGTCATCCATAGAGCTTAATCTTTTCTCATTTCTACTCTTGTGAGAGTTATTGTTGTGAGGTTGAAGAAGATTGTTCTTCTTGTTGTTCAAGACTTATGTGACTTAAGTCTTGGTTGTGAAGTCTTGTAGAGGGCATATCTACGAGCGGTTATGTCGAGGCTTGTGAGATTCAAGTTCTCGAGTTGTAAACGGTTTGTTAAGCACCCGTAAGCTTAATGGAAGTAGTGGTAGCTTCGAGAGAGTCTCTCGGGGAAATGGACTAGCCACGAGGTGGTGAACCAGTATACATCGGTGTGCTCTTTGCATTCTCTCTTTTATTTCCGCTGCACTTACGTTTATATTATTTATCCCGCAAAAATCGGTAAACATTCTCAACAACTCTATTCACCGCCCCCCTCTAGAGTTGCACGCCTTGTCTAACAATTGGTATCGGAGCGGGTACCTCTAACGCTCCTTGTGACGTTTGAAAAAACGATCAATTTTTTTTGAGAATGTTGAACGCAGGGATGGGAGAAGGGCAATCCACCGTAAGGCCGCCATTTTTTGCTGGGACGAATTACTCTTATTGGAAGGAGCGTATGAGAATTTTTGTTCAATCAAATAACTTCAAAATTTGGCTTGTTATCAAGAATGGAGATAGCTTGCCAATGAAGAAGATAGGCAATACACTCATCCCGAAGGACGAGGATGAATATGATGAAGCCGATCTTAAGAAGGCTCAATTGAATGCCACCGCCATCAACTTCTTATATTGTGCTGTCAACGCCAACGATTATCAAAAGATATCTCGTTGCCAAACCGCCAACCAAATGTGGAACAAGCTCATGATAACATATGAAGGTACGCCTCAAGTTCGTGAATCAAAAATTGATTTACTAACCCATGAATATGAGTTATTTGCTATGAAAGAGAACGAACTTATGGAGGACATGTTTGGAAGATTTTCAAACATCGTCAATGACCTTGATATGCTTGGAAAGACGCTCACTGACAAAGAGTTAGTGAGAAAAATTCTGCGAAGTCTTACCAAGGAATGGGAGTCGAAGGTTAACTCCATTTACGAAGGCCGAGATTACAACGTCATCACATACGACGGTCTTCGAGGTAACCTTATCACATACGAAACAAATCATCTTTCTCATACTCTTGACGTTAAGAAGAGAACGGGAATTGCTTTTCAAGCATCTTCTTCTCAAAAAGTAGAGATTGGTGATTCGGATTCGGATAGTGATAGTGATAGTGATTCTAGAACTTCCTGTGATATTTTGGTTGAATGTTTTAATGAGTTTTTGAAACATGAGCTAAACAAGAGCAAGAAGAAAAACACCCCAAAATGTCACAAGTGCGGAAAGCTTGGCCACCGAAAATTTGAGTGCCCAAAGCTCAAAAAGATGAGCAAACAAGATGAATTCGCATATTTTTCATGGAAGTATAATCAACCTTCCAAAGACGATTGCCTCATCTCTCTTGAAGAACAACATGGGTGGTCGGGTACGTGACGCACTTAAAAGGCGTGCTTGAAGACTACAAATTTGTAGTGGATGCTCCAAGCACTTAGCCAAAGAGATTGCATCAAAGGGGAGTAAATTTTTTTTAATTAAATATTATCTTTGAGATTTATATGAATTTATTTGGGGAATATACATAGGATGTTTTGCATATAGTAAAGGGGAATTTATTGCTATATGTGTTAATCTTTTTGTATGCCTTATTTTTAAGGGGTAGATAGCATACTTTAAGGGGGAAGTATTTTATTTTCCTAGAAATGCATGATCCTAGGGGGAATGTGATTTTTCTTATTTGTTTAGATATTTTTTTCTCTCCCTGGAATGCATGAGTTCTTTTGTTGCATTATTTTTTATAATGCCAAAAGGGGGAAGAGTATAGGAGTATATGCTTTAATTTGTTATTTGTTGGTAGCATATCCTCCATGTGTTTGTCATTATCAAAAAGGGGGAAATTGTTGGAATGTATGAGTTCAACCCTTTCTGTGTTGTTAAGTGTTGACTCACAGGTTTTGATAATTGACAAACACAATTTATTCAAGTCAAGATCAAAGTGTTACAAGGACAAACACGAAGACTTGAAGTGTCATTCCTTGAAGCATTCAAGAAGGTGCACAGGTTTTTATTGGAGTCTGAGACGCGTTCGGAGTACCTAACGGAGGACTCGGAGGAGCAGAAGATTTCCGAAGACTTTTTTTATTTGAGTCTTAGGAATCATTGTAAGGATGACAAAAATATCTTCTCTCCAAAATTATTTTTATGAGAGTTAAAATAAAAATTATATTTATTTTAGGAGTCAGTTGAAAAATCTTTTTAACTATTCAAAATAGATTTATTAAGTCAGTTACAAAAGGTGTGTCAAACATTTATCACATATTTATTTTGATATTATAAAATATTTTTGGTAAGCAAAAATATTTCATTCAAATATTTTTCGTGTACATCGTTTGACACACAAAATAATTTTTGGACTCACTTTTTACTCCCTTATTCAAATCCATTGAACAAGGGAAGGAGCGTTCTCTGATTCCCAGTTGTCTCAAACAACGAGTGTTACGACATTTGTGCTCTCAATCGCAACTGGCTTAGGCCCTTTGTGTTTTGCGCATTATTTCTTTTTGTAATCGATTATATTTCTCATTTTAATCGATTAACCTTCGTTCGCATTCCATTAATCGATTATTCCTCTTATTTTAATCGATTAGTCCTCTCAGAGCCTTCTAATCGATTAACCCCTTTGCATTAATCGATTATTTCCGCGTAGAAGGAACTCTGCGCAGACTGCATTAATCGATTATTGACACTACATTAATCGATTATTATGCTGCATTTTTTCATCACAGCTTCTTTTCTTGGACCAACGGATATATTCCTTCAACCCCTTTATAAACTTCACTCCTTGGTCATTTTTAAAATGAACAAGCACTCCTAAACTCCCCCAATCTTGAGGTTATAATCCTCCATTCATTTCTTCCTCAAATTGATATATTTTGAGAGAAAACTAAGTGTTTTCAAGAGAGTAATCTTGTCATCCATAGAGCTTAATCTTTTCTCATTTCTACTCTTGTGAGAGTTATTGTTGTGAGGTTGAAGAAGATTGTTCTTCTTCTTGTTCAACACTTATGTGACTTAAGTCTTGGTTGTGAAGTCTTGTAGAGGGCATATCTACGAGCGGTTGTGTCGAGGCTTGTGGGATTCAAGTTCTCGAGTTGTAAACGGTTTGTTAAGCAGCCGTAAGCTTAATGGAAGTAGTGGTAGCTTCGAGAGAGTCTCTCGGGGAACTGGACTAGCCAAGAGGTGGTGAACCAGTATACATCGGTGTGCTCTTTGCCTTCTCTCTTTTATTTCCGCTGCACTTACGTTTATATTATTTATCCCGCGAAAATCGGTAAACATTCTCAACAACTCTATTCACCCCCCCTCTAGAGTTGCACATATATATATATACACACACACACACACACACATATATATATATATATATACATACATACATACATATATATATATATATATATATATATATAGGGGCTGGATCAGGTGAGAATGCACCTTAGTGAAAGAAATAAGAATAAAATCTAGCCTTTGGATCGGATGCATCGTGCGGTCAGATTGCATTCTGCACTCAGATTTTGAGATAGTGCATTTTCAAAGGATTTTGTTGCATTTCGACAGGATGCATTTTTAACCCTTTTTGGTGCACCTAATTTTGATGCAATCTTGACCCTTAGATCTCACAATCTAAAGCACCAGATTCATTCTTATTTCTTTCATAAGATCGCATTCTCACCTAAACCAAAATCTATATATATATATATATATATATATATATATATATATATATATATATATATATATATATATATATATTTACACACACTTATTTATTTCTTTCTATGTGAGTGCCATAATAATATTATGTACTCATATAAAATAGTAATAATTTTTTAATATCCTAAATTATAAATAAAATATTACACACAGAAATTAAATTTTACATTATGCAGTTAAAAAATAGATTTGGGCCGTATGTATCCACATCCCTATGCTGAGCATAGGCTTAATTGTGTAACCTTCATTAAATGCACTATAAAGGACTACAAGTGTTTTACTACTTCCCTCTTTCTTTCCTCATTTATTTCCGATCATCCTAACCAACAACCACATTTATTTTGAGCTTTAGTAATTCTATCAAGCATTCACACGTCCATTTCCAAGGTTAGAAATCAATTACCTTCTTTTATTCCTTATTGAATGTTAACCCGTATGCTTGTTTTCAAGATATAATTGAAAATATACTTATATAATAATAATAGAATTGACTAATTCATTAGATGATTAATGAAATACTTATAATCCCAGTTTAGTATGAAATTTATTGTTCTTTAATTAATAAGATTATGATGTTGGTATTAGGTTACCCGTGACTGGGATGAGAAAGCTTACCAAAAACGAGAGAATCAATCCATATCTTGATTTCGAAGAGGAACCAGACAAAGGTGACTTTAATACCTAAAAATATTTTTGAAACAATTTAGACTTATTACAAGAAACCAAGCATGAATATGTGTTCTGTAAGTGTATTTATATGCATGCATTTTGTGCCAAAAAGTATGTTATTGTGATAGAAAGTAGGAAACATTTAGTCAAAGTTTCATATTCATTAATTAGGGGATTAAGCCATCCTACTTAATACTTAGGTAATAG